GTCATTAAGCTCACTTTGTAGCCCAGGCTGGTCTCAAACTCGCAATGATCCTCATGCCTCAGCCTTCTGAGTGCTGGGATTATAGACAAGTACCACCATGCACAGTTAACTTTTTTTTTTTTTTTCAGAACTGGGGATTGAACTCAGGCCCTTGTGCTTGCCAGGCAAGCACTTATTCTACTGAGCCATCTCCCCAGCCCCATTTCTTGAGCATTATTAGCATTTATTATAATTATTATTCATTTCTCTAGGTTATTATTTCTCTTCCTGATAGATTAAATTTAGTTTCTAGGGAATAGACTTGCAGGGGAATTGGAGATTTTCTGCAGGAAAATGGCTTTATGATAAGTAATGTGTTTAATTTAACACACATTTCGTGAGTGTGGAACACTGCCTAGTGTGTGGGGCATACAAAGATAAATCATTGAAGGCACGGCCCCAGTCAGTCGAATTGGACAAGTCTTAGCATTCATTAGTGGCCCTGCTGCAGAAGTAAATGTAACAATGGAAGTGTAGGCCAGGCTGTGGGCATAGCATGGAAGCCGTAACTGATCTCGCTGAGGCATCAGGATAGCCTGGGAGAAGGGAAGTAGACAGGCTCGCAGTGGATGTGGCAGGGAGAGCCAGCTCTGAGGGGAGGCTCTCACAGGGATCCTGTTCCTGTTTATTTATCCACCAGCTTGGATTACCCTGTGGCTTGCCTGCCTCAAAGTAGATAAGTGTTTTGCCTATCTGGATTGTTTTTTGAGCACTGCTTGCAACCACATGGAATTCTAAACACACATTCTACATGCTAATGCATTGTATTGCTGGATTGCCACAGTGTTGATGTTGTCCTCCTAGCCGCAGGTTCCTCTACATTGTCAATCTAGATGCCCCTTTCGAAGGTCACCGGAAAATCTCTCGCCAGAGCAAATGGGATATTGGAGCTGTACAGTGGAATCCTCATGACAGCTTCGCACACTATTTTGCAGCTTCGGTGAGTTCATGTAAGGAGTATCATCTTTTAAATGTGTCCTCCAGGAGTGGCAGGTCTATGTCCTGTGTGGCGAAGAGACTATAATCCTTATTCAGTCAGGAAAGAGGTTTGGATGATTCTTTGAGAAAAACAGGCAAGTTGCAGATTTATATATTTGTGTGTGCACACAC